GGGGGCAGCTACGAAGGAGTGGTTTTGGAAGTGGATACAAGGTGAGGAAATGGAGAGAGCATTTTCTGTCTGAAGTTGTGCTGTGAAGAGAAAGGAGAACAGCTGGGTGGGGCTTCAGGGTCAGAAGATGGTTGGTTTTCGTGGGTTTGTTTTGTTTTGTTGTAAGTTAGGAGAGGCTAAAGATTGTTGGAGGGTTGCCAGAAGGGACCCACTTCAGAGGGAGAGGCTGAAGATACAGGAGAGGGGTAGGGTCCCTAACTTCTCATGGGTGGTGAGGACACTTTGAGAATTGTGTGGCCGGAAGAAGAGTATGAAAGAACACATCGGTTTATACCCATAAGCCAGATTCCCCAGCCCCAGGATCTCCCCTTCAACAGAGACACTTAAGAGCTTTCATTAAGACCTTTCTCCCTGATGTCACCCAAAGATGCGTGGAAACTTTTTTTTTTTTACGTTTTTAGCAGAGGAGACTAACATTAAATGATTAGTGAAATAATTGTTTAGTCTTTAAACTACATTTGGGCTAAATGCTACCGAGGAGACGTATGGTTTGCTATGAAAGTATATTTGGAATGGACCAAGCCCACGGGGGTCAGGGAGCGCTGTCTTTTTCTCCTCTTCCTCCTCCTTTGTAAGTCCTTACACATGTACATCCTTCAGTTGCTTGTTTTTGAACACAAATGAAAGCAATCTGTACCTTTGTTCTCCTTCTTGCTTTTTAAGTGAAAAAGCAAGCAGCATTCAAATAAGTAAATAAAAATACAACAAACAGCCCCGTCGTTGTTACCCCCGTTAAGAAATAAAAGATGACAGGTACGAGAGAAACTGGCTCCGTTCTTGTCCCTGATCTCTGAATTTGCCAATTAGAATTTGCCAGTTAATGGGGCGCCTGGGTGGCGCAGTCGGTTGAGCGTCCGACTTCAGCCAGGTCACGATCTCGCGGTCCGTGAGTTCGAGCCCCGTGTCGGGCTCTGGGCTGACGGCTCAGAGCCTGGAGCCTGTTTCCGATTCTGTGTCTCCCTCTCTCTCTGCCCCTCCCCCGTTCATGCTCTGTCTCTCTCTGTCCCAAAAATAAATAAACGTTGAAAAAAAAAATTAAAAAAAAAAAAAAAAGAATTTGCCAGTTACTACTCCGTATCCATGCACAAAAGACACATACAATTGATTTGTGGGTTTTAAACTTAAGAGGCAAAGTATCATCATGTATATCTCTTCTTAACCAGGGAAAGCTTTTTTGAAGAAGTGATATTCAAACCAAGCTCTGAAGGATGAAAGGAGGCAGGGAGGGTAGGAAGGCAGCAGAGGGCATTCCAGAAAGAGGGTATGGTATGTTATAAAACCATGAGCTAAGGAAAGGATTATGGCATGTTCGGAGAACCCAAAAAAGACATGTGTGGCTGGAGCAGGGAGTTAGAAGAGAGAGGTAAAAGATGGGACGGGGTGTGGGGGGGCAAGGGCCTGATCATGCTGGGCACTTTGTTCTCTGTTAACTGTTCTTTACCGTATCCTAAGGGCAGTGGGACGAGACCGTAAATTACAGTGAGCCCCCTGTGCATTTAGAATAATTTAAAATTGACATCCATGATTCCAGTCTTGTCATTTGTCGTATAATTTCATTTTCCTGTGATTTTTTTTCTCCTGAGGCCAATGTTTAAGATGCTTTGCAAAAATAAACCATTGTTGTCAAGTTTCCCTACAGGAACAGAATGGAAGGAGGACCGAGCAGATTGGAAATTCACACCCCAGTATTTGACAAGAAAAAGAAAAAATACTCTGTATATAAGGAAGGACACCTAAGGAGTTCCCATGAAAGTTTCAGAGACACTCCTCTGACAAGCGAACAGCGTCATATAACCAAGAGTAAAAAAAAGAGAAAGGATTTCCAGCATTTTCATTCTTCCCCTTTGCAAAAATCAGAAATTTGCGAGGAGACTGAAAAGACCACTTCTATACCCAAAAAGAATAAAAAGAGAAGACAGAAGGCTTTGGGGGTAGATGAGGAAACAGGCGTGGTGTACGTCCTGGTGGATAAAGAAAATATCAAGGACACGCCGAAGAATTTTAGGAGCGACGTCGATGTCGTGTACGTGGACACGAGCAAGGAACAAGAGCCAACACAAGAGCCTGATGCAGACGAACCACAGTCCGTTCCCAAGTCACATGAAAATGAGTCCGAAGAACCGCATCATAAAGTCAGGGAGAAAAAGAGTAAAAAACATCGGAAGAAAGCGGCATCGGGCGATGCTGTGCAGGAAAGCCCGCGTGCGAGCCTGCCCCTGCCCGAGGTGGAACCACCCCAGCCAGAAGCCCCCTTTCCCGTGGGCCCAGAGGGCGAAACTGCCCAGCTGCCAATACCCACAGGTAAAAAAAAGTCTAAGAAAAAAAAGAGAAAAATTTCACACAACCAGGAATTTGAGGCAGTGCCCGGGCCTGAGGGTCTGGAGAACGTGCACTCCGAAGGATGTCGAGGGGTCAGTGGTGTAAAGAAAAAGTCTAAGAAACGGAAGCGAAGCTCTGCTGAAAGCCCCGTAGCGCCTGGTGGGGAGTTTTCAGCGCTCGCTGCCAGCTTGGAGGACGCGCACTTTGATTCACCGCAGGGAAATGGCACCTTGACTGAAGAAAGGGAGGAGCCCAGGCCACGAGAGGAGAAAACCCAGGCCTGTATGGAAGAGGTGCAGAGGTAACGGGGGAATGTTGTGTCTTTCGATGTGTGTCTTCTGTGTGAGTTCTGCCTGTGACCTCTTTATCTAGCATGTTCGTGGCAAGCTCCGACATCCCTCCTTGCTTTCACACTGTCCTGGTCTGAAGTGAGGGTCACTTTCAGCACTTGAAAGCCACCGGGGCAAGCGACGTGTTCACGTGAGTCCGTCCGATCTTGTCCGTAGGTTGGAACCTACAAACGAAGAAGAAGGCCGTCTGGAAGTGGCCACAGGTTCCGAAACGAGGTACTTATCCGAAGAGTCGAGAGATTTGGGCGACTCGGATGTGGATTTGGACTCGGCCGTGAAGCAGCTCCAGGAGTTCATCCCCGACATCAAGGAAAGGGCCGCCACCACCATCAAGAGGATGTACCGGGATGACTTAGGGCGGTTTAAGGAATTCAAGGCACAGGGTGAGCTGGTGGGACTTGAATAGCTGCTGGGCTCTCCTGTCTGCGTGAGGAGCCCCTGACGCCGTTTGGTGAACAATGCAAGTTGTCTAGATTCACCGGGAGCACCTTCTGGCCGCTTCCTGCCTCACCTCCTGCCAGAATTGTCCGAGCCACGAGATCAGCCAAACGAAGGGGTCTGGGTCTCCTCCGCCCAACTTCTGGTAGGGGAGACCCGTCCCCATCCTGATCTCACTCGCTGTGTTGCAAGAACCTCCCAGAAAAGTTACGGACTTGAGGAGCAAACCGCAAAGCTGAGGCTGTGTGCTCCGAATGAGCGGTATTCACTGGGCTGTGAGGGACCCAGTACACTGGTCCCTGGGAAGAGTGAAAGCAGAGCCTTAGCCCCGTTAATCACGTTGAAGAGGTTTGTTTTAAAAAAACAGACCAAGGAAGGAAAATGTGTTTAGAGCAGCATCTGTGGAATGCTCCCATTCTTTTTGTATGTTTTACGTCAAAATTTTTAGGCGTATGTTATTTTTTAAAAGATATTCTTGAAATAAGCCTAAGAAGGGAAAAACCATGCCATACATAAGACCATCAGTACATAATGAAACTTGGTTGCTTTGAGTTACAAAGAAGAATAGAAAGTGCAGTTAAATGACCTTATTACTCCCCCCATCCCCCATATATTTGCCTAGAGAATAAATGTGAATATTTGTATCGGCCAATTTCACTGTACTTGCCTTTGGCCGGGGTGTGTGTGTGGCAGAAGAGATTAAGAGGGGACTTCTTAAACATTTTTGTGGTTTTTTTTTAAATGTCAATTTTTTTTTTAACATTTATTCATTTTTGAGAGGCAGAGAGAGAGTGTGAGTGGGGAAGGGGCAGAGGGGAGGGAGACACAGAATCGGAAGCAGGCTCCAGGCTCTGAGCCATCAGCACAGAGCCCGATGCGGGACTCAAACCCACGAACCGTGAGATCATGGCCTGAGCCGAAGTTGCATGCTTCACCAACTGAGCCACCCAGGCTTCCCTTAAAAAAATTGTTTTTAACTTTTATTCATTTTTGAGAGGTAGAGACAAAGCGCGAGTAAGGGAGGGGCAGGGAGAGAGAGAGAGCGAGACACAGAATCTGAAGCAGGCTCCAGGCTCTGTCCTGACAGGCTGACGCCGGCGAGCCTGATGTTGGGCTTAAACCCACCAATTACGAGATCATGACTTGAGCCATGACCTGAGCCGAAGTCTGACGCTTAATGACTGAGCCTCCCAGGCGCCCCGAGGGGGAACTTCTTTGAAATGTTTATTTCCATACTGCTTGAACTTTTAATGAAAATATATTCCTTCTTAATAAAAAAATGACTGTTTTCCAAAGAGATTGATGATGAATTGGGGAAGGTCACTCTGGAAGGGGATGACGGGGCAGACTTTGAGAGAAGAATGACTAAAATGGAAGGGAAGCTGAGGGTCACAGTGGGGAAGAGGGGAGCTAATGTCAAGTGCACGCCTAGGGCTGCTTCTCAGCAGGGGGTAGCTGACTGGGCGCTGTTGTAACTGCTGAAGACTGAGTGGTGGGTTTGCTTTTTCCTTTGTTACTGACAATGCCTACTTTTTCTCCCCACCCCAATCCTAGGTGTCGCTATTAGATTTGGCAAGTTTTCTGTAAAGGAAAATAAGCAGTTAGAGAAAAACGTGCAAGAATTTCTGTCCCTGACCGGAATTGACAATGCGGACAAGCTGCTGTATACAGACAGATACCCAGAGGAGAAATCTGTGATCACCGACTTGAAAAGAAAGTACTCCTTTAGACTGTGCATCGGTAAGCGTACAGCCGTTTTCTTTTTGACCGTCGCCAGCCTTCCAGCCTTAGCCGGGTGAGGCACGGTAGGTGTTCGCACAGCGCCCGGCCGATCGGTATTTCCGTATTCGCATCGCCAGCCCGTACTCTTGGGGGTTTGGAATGCGTTCATGTCTCCCAAGCGTAGTGCTTTTCCGGATCTTGTAGAAAGTAACACAATCAACTTGTAGCTTTCCTGCTGGGCAAGAAGTGTGGTTCTGGTTTCTGCTCCCCTGCTCTAATACATGCTGTCTTTCGTATGCTGCACACAGCACACCCGGATCTCCTGAGTTTCCCCGAGTACAGCCTTACGTGTGCTTTGTCGCTGGAACCCTCTTCCAGCGGGTGTACTTGGAAACTGAGACAAAGCCATGAAGCAGCATGGGATTGGACAGAAGGGAAATCTATGAATTCATTAATAAATTTATTTCTTATTATTAATGCCTATTTATTTTTGAGAGAGACAGAGCATGAGCCGGGGAGGGGCAGAGAGAGAGGGAGGCACAGAACCCGAAGCAGGCTCCAGGCTCCGACCTGTCAGCATGGAGCCCGACCTGGGGCTCAAACTCACGGACCGTGAGATCGTGACCTGAGCCAAGGTCGGGTGCTCAACCGACCGAGCCACTCAGGCGCTCCCCCTCCCGCGCAAAATCCATGAATTGAAAGAGGATGATTTCTTAGGTGTTCTCCGGAGTGTGCAGGGGCAACCAGAGTAGTGAGCCCCTGTCGGGGGGCTGTTTGGTGCTTAGAGTGAGGAAATGAGTAAAGCCTGCTCGTTCAAGAAGCCCTCTTGTTCATCAACTGTTGGCACACGTCCTCCACGTTAGCATTCTTTCCCCTTCACTCAAATTTTGTTAACATTACTTTGGTTTATAAAGAACTTTTCCCTCGAACGTGGTAGGTAGACTGGACGCTGGAGCCTCGACATCCTAAGCCCGTCGTTTGCAGAGCTCTGCAAGGAAACTGGTGATCGTGGGTGTCTGCTCCTCGAGCCAGCTCTCTGCAGGATGTGTGAAATCCCGGCCTCGACGTGGGGTCCGGGGTCGTGGGGTGGAGAGGGGCCTGTGCCGGGTTCCTCTTACAACTGTGACTCCATTTCAGGCCAGGCCCTGTGTGCCACACTGACCGCTTGCCTTTCTTCCGACTTTAGGGAAGGGCATTGCCCGGCCCTGGAAACTCGTTTACTATCGAGCAAAGAAGATGTTTGATGTCAACAATTACAAGGGCAGGTAAGAAGCCTTAGCAGCTTGAGACACAGCATTTCTCTGGTGCTTGCTGATCGTATAAATCAGAACGTCCACAACAGATTAGAGGTGGTAAAAAAAAAACCAAAAAAACAAAAACCGAAATTGTGAGGACCTTTGTGTGTGAAACGGGCCTGCATATCTCAGTCAGGTGAATGTCTTCAAAGCCCATTTCAGTTTCTACCTCTTTAGTCAAAGTTTGTGATCTTCCCCTTTCTATTTATTTTTTATGTATTTTTTGAGAGAGAGAGAGACAGACAGAGCATGAGCGGTGGAGGTGCAGAGAGAGAGAGGGAGACACAGAATCCGAAGCAGGCTCCAGGCTCTGAGCCGTCAGCGCAGAGCCCGACGCGGGGCTCGAACCCACGAACCGCGAGATCACGACCTGAGCCGAAGTCCGACGCTTAACTGACTGAGCCACCCAGGCGCGCCAGTCTTCCCCTTTCTAAATCCCTGGCTTTTTGGGGCGCCTGGGTGGCGCAGTCGGTTAAGCGTCCGACTTCAGCCAGGTCACGATCTCGCGGTCCGGGAGTTCGAGCCCCACGTCGGGCTCTGGGCTGATGGCTCGGAGCCTGGAGCCTGTTTCCGATTCTGTGTCTCCCTCTCTCTCTGCCCCTCCCCCGTTCATGCTCTGTCTCTCTCTGTCCCAAAAATAAATAAAAAACATTGAAAAAAAAAAGTTTAAAAAAAAAAAAATAAATCCCTGGCTTTTCCTTCGTACTTCCTCTAGCACTCAGCGTGCCGCGCCCCCCTTAATGTTACTCACGAGGTTTTCTTTGCTCTCTGCTGATGTGCAAGCTCCCTGTGTACCCAAACGTTCCTTCTCAATGCGACGTTCCCTCCAGCGCTCAGCCCGCTTTTGGGGGTTTCCAGTGAGCGTGTGAAGGCAGGGTAAACGCCAGCCAGAGGTCCCGTGCGAGCGGTTCGGCAGCGACACTGCTTGGTGGTCACTGCCTCCTCCCTCCCTCCCCAAGTAAAACACCCAACTACGTTTTGTTCCCAACGTTCCAGATAAAACCAACGTGGATCGGGTGTCGGCTGTGGGTAAGCGCTCTGCTCCAGGACGGAGGGAGAGGCAGGAAAGCGTCGGGCCCCTCGCTCTGAGGGCCCAGACAACAACCTCGTGGACTTGACCTCACTCTGGGAGGCACGTTTAGTAAATGTGGCAGGGTCATTTGGGTTCCAGGTAGCTGCACGATTTGAAAGCAGGACCTACATACTATGCGACCCCCAAACACCGATACGCCCTTGGTTTCTTTTTTTAAAATTCTGACCAAAAGAAGTAAACCGGAAGCAGAGGAAAAGGTTGCTCACAGACTAAAGCCCACGCTCCCCTCTTCCCCAAGCCCCGGGGCTGGACGCCTGTGGACAGAACTTGAAGGAAATTCACTAAAGATGACATTTTCAGCGGGACGTGAAAGAAAGCTTTGGGTAAATGAACGGTGGCAGCTGAGGTGACAGTTTTCTATCTGTGACATAAGCGTGGGAATGAAAGTTTTAGCAGAATACAAAGTCTGTAATTCTAATAAGAAAGTTCATTCATTCGTTTGCACCACCTGGTTTGTGTGTGGTAACAATTTGCCCTTAGAATGTTGGTTTTTTTTTCTTAAAGTTTATTTATTTATTTTGAGAAAGAGAGGGCGCGCGTGTGCACGTGAATGGGGGAGAGGCAGAGAGAGAATCCCAAAAATACAGTTTGGGGGGCGCCTGGGTGGCTCAGTCTGCTAAGCGTTGGACTTCAGCTCAGTTCATGATCTCAAGGTTAGTGAGTCCGAGCCCCGCGTTGGACTCTTTGCTTTCAGCACAGAGCCTGCTTCGAATCTTCGGTCTCCCTTTCTTCCCCCTCCCCCGTTCCCAGGCATACTTAAGCATTCCCTCCCGCCCTCTCTCCCTCTCTCTCTCCCTCAATTTCTCTCTCCCTCCCTCCATATCTCTCTCTCTCTCTCTCTCTCTCTCTCTCTCTCTCTCTCTCTGTCTCTCAAAAATAAATATTAAAAAAAGAAAGGGGCACCTGAGTTGCTCAGTCAGTTAAGGGTTGGACTTTGGCTCAGGTCATGATCTCGCGGTTCGTGGGTTCAAGCTCCGCATCAGGCTCTGTGCTAACAGCTCGAGCCTGGAACCTGCTTTGGATTCTATGTCTTCCTCTCTGCCCTTGCCCCGCTGACACTCGCTCCGTCTTTCCCCCTCTCTCTCTCTCTGTCTCTCTCTCAAATAAATATTAAAAATTAAAAACAACACAGTTCTTAATCTCACACTTGATCAGAGCTGTAGCACGTTTTCCCTTCCTCCCAGGTACAGCAAAGGAGACATGGAGAAGTTAAAGATCTACCACTCCCTGCATGGAAACGACTGGAAGAAGATTGGCGAGATGGTGGCTCGAAGTAGCCTCTCTGTTGCCCTGAAGTTCTCCCAGATCAGCAGCCGTAAGTGAACCGTCCGTGCTGCCCCACCCCGCGAGCAGATGAGCCCCCGCGGCCCCAGCACGGGCATCCTGGCAGGCCTGTCTTGTGGGGGGGCCGTGACAGTTGACTGCTGAAGCCGTTCTCCCAGCTGTCTCATTTCATTTCTCACCCGCGATTGTGAAACCATGCAGCCTTTATTCACACGACCGATTTCTTATAATTTTTCAAATGTTTTTTATTTATTCTTGAGAGAGAAAGAGCGAGACACAGAATCCAAAGCAGGCTCCAGGCTCTGAGCTGTCAGCACAGAGCCCGACGCGGGGCTCGAACCCACGAGCCACGAGATCACGACCTGAGCCGAAGTCGGACGCTCAACCGACTGAGCCGCCCAGGCGCCCCTCACGTGACCAATTTCTGCCACGCCTGGGTTCAGTAGCTTTCAGCTCTACCCGCCGGCCTGACTGAAACCCTGGGAGGCTGGCGGGTAGGAGAGCCAGGGCGGAGGAGGTCCCCTCCTGCAGAGGACAGGGGAGAGTGCTGGGAGGGCAGTGATGCGATTCAGTCGGCCTGTTAGGGACTTTTCCCAAACCTCCTGTCTCTTTTTCTCCTCTATCAGAAAAACTTCGTTGGTTATAGTCTTTACATTACAAAATCCCCAGTTGCTTTAAGGAGACAGCCCTCGGATGCCGTTACGGTGAGCACGGGGGCTGGCATCTGTGGCCCCGGGGTGACTGGGAGCCATGTCTTTCGTGCCAACGCATCCAGCCGTGGCGCCATGCAGAGACTCAGTGTGGCCAGTTCTTCTGGATTTGGTGCGAGTGTGTGAAATCTAGATACCTTTTTTTCCCCCTGAACTGTTTTGATTTTTAAATATCCAAATTGTTGAGAAAAAGTAACGTCACTCTGTGGGCCAAACCAAAGATATTTGTAGGCTGGTAGTTTGAGGCCTCTTCCTTAGCCTGACTGTGACCATCTAGACCAGGAAGATGGACCACGGATGGTTCGATGCCTTCCGCAGATGAAGGCTTCAGGTTCAGACGCCTTTATCATTGTGATCACTGGAGCTCAGTTTCACGCATTCACTTACTTGGTTCCCATTAAATGTTTGAGAACCTCACAGAGTCACACGGGAGAGGTTACTCAGAAACAAGAAAAACAACTTTTTTGAAGTTAAAAAACACACATTGCTTTAAGAAAAGACAGTTCTGTTCTGATATTGGTTCTTAAACAGAATCGTTGGGAGGCGCTGGGGTGGCTCAGTCAACTGAGCATCAACCTGATACCGGATCAGGTCATGATCCCAAGGTTGCGGGATCGAACCCCGCTTGGGATTCTCATTCTCCCTCTCCCTCTCCCTCTCCCTCTCCCT